CTCTAGAGCACTAATGAGGACTCTAGAGCACTAATGAGGACTCTAGAGCACTAATGGAGCACTTAATGAGGACTCTAGAACACTAATGAGGACTCTAGGAGCACTAATGAAGACTCTAGAACACTAATGAGGACTCTAAGAGCACTAATGAAGACTCTAGAGCACTAAGAGAGGACTCTAGAGCACTAATGAGGACTCTAGAGCACTAATGAGGACTCTAGAACACTAATGAGGACTCTAAGAGCACTAATGAAGACTCTAGAGCACTAAGAGAGGACTCTAGAGCACTAAGAGAGGACTCTAAAGCACTAATGAGGACTCTAGAGCACTAATGAGGACTCTAGAACACTAATGAGGACTCTAAGAGCACTAATGAAGACTCTAGAGCACTAAGAGAGGACTCTAGAGCACTAATGGGGACTCTAGAGCACTAATGAGGACTCTAGAACACTAATGAGGACTCTAAGAGCACTAATGAAGACTCTAGAGCACTAAGAGAGGACTCTAGAGCACTAAGAGAGGACTCTAGAGCACTAAGAGAGGACTCTAGAGCACTAATGAGGACTCTAGAGCACTAAGAGAGGACTCTAGAGCACTAATGAGAACTCTAGAGCACTAATGAGGACTCTAGAGCACTAATGAGGACTCTAGAGCACTAATGAGGACTCAAGAGCACTAATAAGGACTCTAGAGAACTATTGAGGACTCTAGAACACTAATGAGGACTCTAGAGCACTAATGAGGACTCTAGAACACTAATGAGGACTCTAGAACACTAATGAGGACTCTAGAGCACTAATGAGGACTCTAGAGCACTAATGAGGACTCCAGAGCACTAATGAGGACTCTAAGAGCACTAATGAAGACTCTAGAGCACTAAGAGAGGACTCTAGAGCACTAATGAGGACTCTAGAGCACTAATGAGGACTCTAGAGAACACTGGAGCACTAATGAGGACTCTAGAGAACACTGGAGCACTAATGAGGATTGTAGAGCACAATGGAGCACTAATGAGGACTCTAAAGCACACTGGGAGGACTCTAGAGCACTAATGAGGACTCTAGAACACTAATGAGGACTCTAGAGCACTAATGAAGACTCTAGAACAATAATGAGGACTCTAACAGCACTAATGAAGACTCTAGAGCACTAAGAGAGGACTCTAGAGCACTAATGAGGACTCTAGAGCTTTAATGAGGACTCTAGAACACTAATGAGGACTCTAAGAGCACTAATGAAGACTCTAGAGCACTAATGAGGACTCTAGAGCACTAAGAGAGGACTCTAAAGCACTAATGAGGACTCTAGAGCACTAAGAGAGGACTCTAGAGCACTAAGAGAGGACTCTAGAGCACTAATGAGGACTCTAGAGACTAATGAGGACTCTAGAGAACACTGTAGCACTAATGAGGACTCTAGAGCACACTGGAGCACTAATAAGGACTCTAGAGCACTAATGAGGACTCTAGAACACTAATGAGGACTCTAGAGCACTAATGAGGACTCTAGAGCACTAATGAGGACTCTAGAGCACTAATGAGGACTCTAAGAGCACTAATGTAGACTCTAGAGCACTAGCAGAGAGGACTCTAGAGCACTAATGAGGACTCTAGAACACTAATGAGGACTCTAGAACACTAATGAGGACTCTAGAGCACTAATGAGGACTCTAGAGCACTAATGAGGACTCTAGAGCACTAATGAGGACTCTAAGAGCACTAATGTAGACTCTAGAGCACTAAGAGAGGACTCTAGAGCACTAATGAGGACTCTAGAACACTAATGAGGACTCTAGAGCACACTGGAGCACTAATGAGGACTCTAGAGCACACTGTAGCACTAATGAGGACTCTAGAGCACACTAGAGCACTAATGAGGACTCTAGAGCACACTGGAGCACTAATGAGGACTCTAGAGCACACTGGAGCACTAATGAGGACTCTAGAGCACACTGTAGCACTAATGAGGACTCTAGAGCACACTGGAGCACTAATGTGGACTCTAGAGCACACTGTAGCACTAATGAGGACTCTAGAGCACACTAGAGCACTAATGAGGACTCTAGAGCACATTGGAGCACTAATGAAGACTCTAGAGCACACTGGAGCACTAATGAGGACTCTAGAGCACACTGGAGCACTAATGAGGAGTCTAGAGCACACTGGAGCACTAATGAGGACTCTAGAGCACACTAGAGCACTAATGAGGACTCTAGAGCACACTGTAGCACTAATGAGGACTCTAGAGCACACTAGAGCACTAATGAGGGCTCTAGAGCACACTGGAGCACTAATGAGGACTCTAGAGCACACTGGAGCACTAATGAGGACTCTGGAGCACACTGTAGCACTAATGAGGACTCTAGAGCACACTAGAGCACTAATGAGGACTCTAGAGCACACTAGAGCTCTAATGAGGACTCTAGAGCACACTAGAGCACTAATGAGGACTCTAGAGCACATTGGATCACTAATGAGGACTCTAGAGCACACTGGAGCACTAATGAGGACTCTAGAGCACACTGTAGCACTAATGAGGACTCTAGAGCACACTAGAGCACTAATGAGGACTCTAGAGCACACTAATGGAGCACTAATGAGGACTCTAGAGAACACTGTAGCACTAATGAGGACTCTAGAGCACACTGGAGCACTAATAAGGACTCTAGAGCACTAATGAGGACTCTAGAACACTAATGAGGACTCTAGAGCACACTGGAGCACTAATGAGGACTCTAGAGCACACTGTAGCACTAATGAGGACTCTAGAGCACACTAGAGCACTAATGAGGACTCTAGAGCACACTGGAGCACTAATGAGGACTCTAGAGCACACTGGAGCACTAATGAGGACTCTAGAGCACACTGGAGCACTAATGAGGACTCTAAGAACACTAATGAGGACTCTAGAGCACACTAGAGCACTAATGAGGACTCTGGAGCACTAAGCACACTGGAGCACTAATGAGGACTCTAGAGCACACTGGAGCACTAATGAGGACTCTAGAGCACACTGGAGCACTAATGAGGACTCTAGAGCACACTGGAGCACTAATGAGGACTCTAGAGCACACTGGAGCACTAATGAGGACTCTAGAGCACACTGGAGCACTAATGAGGACTCTAGAGCACTAATGAGGACTCTAGAGCACTAATGAGGACTCTAGAGCACTAATGAGGACTGAGGACACTAGAGCACTAATGAGGACTCTAGAGCACACACTAATGAGGACTCTAGAGCACTAATGAGGACTCTAGAGCACTAATGAGGACTCTAGAGCACTAAGAGAGGACTCTAGAGCACTAATGAGGACTCTAGAACACTAATGAGGACTCTAAGAGCACTAATGAAGACTCTAGAGCACTTGAGGACTCTAGAGCACTAATGAGGACTCTAGAGCACTAATGAGGACTCTAGAGCACTAATGAGGACTCTAGAGAGCACTAATGAGGACTCTAGAGCACACTGTAGCACTAATGAGGACTCTAGAGCACACTAGAGCACTAATGAGGACTCTAGAGCTCTAATGAGGACTCTAGAGCACACTGGAGCTCTAATGAGGACTCTAGAGCACACTGGAGCACTAATGAGGACTCTAGAGCACTAATGAGGACTCTAGAGCACACTGGAGCACTAATGAGGACTCTAGAGCACACTGTAGCACTAATGAGGACTCTAGAGCACACTAGAGCACTAATGAGGACTCTAGAGCACACTGGAGCACTAATGAGGACTCTAGAGCACTAATGAGGACTCTAGAGCACACTGTAGCACTAATGAGGACTCTAGAGCACACAAGAGCACTAATGAGGACTCTAGAGCACACTGGAGCACTAATGAGGACTAATGAGGACTCTAGAGCACACTGGAGCACTAATGAGGACTCTAAAGCACACTGGAGCACTAATGAGGACTCTGGAGCACACTGGAGCACTAATGAGGACTCTAGAGCACACTGTAGCACTAATGAGGACTCTAGAGCACACTAGAGCACTAGAGCACACTGGAGCACTAATGAGGACTCTAGAGCACAGAGCACTAATGAGGACTCTAGAGCACACTAGAGCACTAATGAGGACTCTAGAGCACACTGGAGCACTAATGAGGACTCTAGAGCACACTGGAGCACTAATGAGGACTCTAGAGCACACTGGAGCACTAATGAGGACTCTAGAGCACACTGGAGCACTAATGAGGACTCTAGAGCACACTGGAGCACTAATGAGGACTCTAGAGCACACTGGAGCACACTAGAGCACTGAGGACTCTAGAGCACTATGAGGACTCTAGAGCACACTAGAGTACTAATGAGGACTCTAGAGCACTAGAGCACTAATAAGGACTCTAGAGCACTAATGAGGACTCTAGAGCACTAATGAGGACTCTAGAGAGCACTAATGAGGACTCTAGAGCAGCACACTGTAGCACTAATGAGGACTCTAGAGCACACTAGAGCACTAATGAGGACTCTAGAGCACACTGGAGCACTAATGAGGACTCTAGAGCACACTGGAGCACTAATGAGGACTCTAGAGCACATTGGAGCACTAATGAGGACTCTAGAGCACACTGGAGCACTAATGAGGACTCTAGAGCACACTGGAGCACTAATGAGGACTCTAGAGCACACTGGAGCACTAATGAGGACTCTAGAGCACACTGTAGCACTAATGAGGACTCTAGAGCACACTGGAGCACTAATGAGGACTCTAGAGCACATTGGATCACTAATGAGGACTCAAGAGTACTAATGAAGACACTAGAGCACACTAGAGCACTAATGAGGACTCTAGAGTACTAATGAGGACTCTAGAGCACACTAGAGTACTAATGAGGACTCTAGAGCACACTAGAGTACTAATGAGGACTCTAGAGCACTAATGAGGACACTAGAGCACTAATAAGGACTAGAGCACACTAGAGTACTAATGAGGACTCTAGAGCACTAATGAGGACTCTAGAGCACTAATGAGGACTCTAGAGCACAAATGAGGACTGACCTGGGTGGTGGCAGAGCGCGGCTCTGTGAGGGAGGAGTCTCGAGCCTCCAGGACCAGGGTGTACCGGGACACAGACTCCCGGTCCAGCCGCGCGATGGACCGGATGATCCCGGTCCATTCCTCCACCATGAAGACCCCAGCACCGCCCTCTACCAGGGAGTACCTGTGGACGGGTCGAGGGTTAGCACTGGACAGTTCCCTGCAGGTGACGGGTCTCTCTAGACGGCTGGCAAGGGTATAGGGTCAGTCTTGACAGCTGGCTAGGGTATACGATGGTGACAACGGGGAGGAGGACCCTGGTGTTGACATGGGGGGAGGACCCTGGTGTTGACAAGGGGGGAGGACCCTGGTGTTGACAAGGGGGAGGACCCTGATGTTGACAAGGGGGGAGGAGGACCCTGGTGTTGACATGGGGGAGGACCCTGGTGTTGACAAGGGGGAGGACCCTGGTGTTGACAAGGTGGGAGGACCCTGGTGTTGACAAGGAAAGGACCCTGGTGTTGACAAGGGGGGAGGAGGACCCTGGTGTTGACAAGGGGGGAGGAGGACCCTGGTGTTGACAAGGGGGAGGAGGACCCTGGTGTTGACAAGGTGGGAGGAGGACCCTGGTGTTGACAAGGGGGGAGGAGGACCCTGGTGTTGACAAGGGGGGAGGACCCTGGTGTTGACAAGGGGGAGGACCCTGGTGTTGACAAGGGGGAGGAGGACCCTGGTGTTGACAAGGGGGAGGACCCTGGTGTTGACAAGGGGGAGGAGGACCCTGGTGTTGACAAGGGGGAGGACCCTGGTGTTGACAAGGGAGGAGGAGGACCCTGGTGTTGACAAGGGGGGAGGACCCTGGTGTTGACAAGGGGGAGGACCCTGGTGTTGACAAGGGGGGAGGACCCTGGTGTTGACAAGGGGGGAGGAGGACCCTGGTGTTGACAAGGGGGGAGGACCCTGGTGTTGACAAGGGGGAGGAGGACCCTGGTGTTGACAAGGGGGAGGACCCTGGTGTTGACAAGGGGGAGGACCCTGGTGTTGACAAGGGGGGAGGAGGACCCTGGTGTTGACAAGGAGGACCCTGGTGTTGACAAGGGGGGAGGACCCTGGTGTTGACAAGGGGGAGGAGGACCCTGGTGTTGACAAGGGGGGAGGACCCTGGTGTTGACAAGGGGGAGGAGGACCCTGGTGTTGACAAGGGGGGGGAGGACCCTGGTGTTGACAAGGGGGGAGGACCCTGGTGTTGACAACCCTGGTGGGGAGGAGGACCCTGGTGTTGACAAGGGGGGAGGACCCTGGTGTTGACAAGGGGGAGGAGGACCCTGGTGTTGACAAGGGGGGAGGAGGACCCTGGTGTTGACAAGGGGGGAGGACCCTGGTGTTGACAAGGAGGAGGACCCTGGTGTTGACAAGGGGGAGGACCCTGGTGTTGACAAGGGGGGAGGACCCTGGTGTTGACAAGGGGGAGGAGGACCCTGGTGTTGACAAGGGGGAGGAGGACCCTGGTGTTGACAAGGGGGGAGGACCCTGGTGTTGACAAGGGGGAGGAGGACCCTGGTGTTGACAAGGGGGGAGGACCCTGGTGTTGACAAGGGGGAGGAGGACCCTGGTGTTGACAAGGGGGGAGGACCCTGGTGTTGACAAGGGGGAGGACCCTGGTGTTGACAGGGGGAGGAGGACCCTGGTGTTGACAAGGGGGAGGAGGACCCTGGTGTTGACAAGGGGGGAGGACCCTGGTGTTGACAAGGAGGAGGACCCTGGTGTTGACAAGGGGGGAGGAGCCTGGTGTTGACAAGGAGGAGGACCCTGGTGTTGACAAAGGGGAAGAGGACCCTGGTGTTGACAAGGAGGAGGACCCTGGTGTTGACAAGGGGGAGGAGGACCCTGGTGTTGACAAGGAGGAGGACCCTGGTGTTGACAAGGGGGGAGGAGCCTGGTGTTGACAAGGAGGAGGACCCTGGTGTTGACAAGGGGGAAGAGGACCCTGGTGTTGACAAGGAGGAGGACCCTGGTGTTGACAAGGGGGAGGAGGACCCTGGTGTTGACAAGGAGAAGGACCCTGGTGTTGACAAGGGGGGAGGAGCCTGGTGTTGACAAGGAGGATCCTGGTGTTGACAAGGGGGAGGAGGACCCTGGTGTTGACAAGGGGGGGAGGACCCTGGTGTTGACAAGGGGGGAGGACCCTGGTGTTGACAAGGAGGAGGACCCTGGTGTTGACAAGGAGGAGGACCCTGGTGTTGACAAGGGGGACAAGAGGACCCTGGTGTTGACAAGGAGGAGGACCCTGGTGTTGACAAGGAGGAGGACCCTGGTGTTGACAAGGTGGAGGACCCTGGTGTTGACAAGGGGGGAGGACCCTGGTGTTGACAAGGGGGGAGGACCCTGGTGTTGACAAGGGGGAAGAGGACCCTGGTGTTGACAAGGAGGAGGACCCTGGTGTTGACAAGGGGGGAGGACCCTGGTGTTGACAACCCTGGTGTTGACAAGGGAGGAGGACCCTGGTGTTGACCAGGGGGGAGGACCCTGGTGTTGACACGGAGGAGGACCCTGGTGTTGACAAGGAGGAGGACCCTGGTGTTGACAAGGGGGAGGACCCTGGTGTTGACAAGGAGGAGGACCCTGGTGTTGACAAAGGGGAGGACCCTGGTGTTGACAAGGGGGGAGGACCCTGGTGTTGACAAGGGGGGAGGAGGACCCTGGTGTTGACTAGGGGGGAGGACCCTGGTGTTGACAAGGGGGAAGAGGACCCTGGTGTTGACAAGGAGGAGGACCCTGGTGTTGACAATGGGGGAGGACCCTGGTGTTGACAAGGGGGGAGGACCCTGGTGTTGACAAGGAGGAGGACCCTGGTGTTGACAAGGGGGGAGGACCCTGGTGTTGACAAGGGGGGAGGACCCTGGTGTTGACAAGGACCCTGGGGGGAGGACCCTGGTGTTGACAAGGGGGGAGGACCCTGGTGTTGACAAGGGGGAGGACCCTGGTGTTGACAAGGGGGGAGGAGTACCCTGATGTTGACAAGGGGGGAGGACCCTGGTGTTGACAAGGGGGAGGAGGACCCTGGTGTTGACAAGGGGGAGGACCCTGGTGTTGACAAGGGGGGAGGAGGACCCTGGTGTTGACAAGGGGGGGGAGGACCCTGGTGTTGACAAGGGGGAGGACCCTGGTGTTGACAAGGGGGAGGAGAACCCTGGTGTTGACAAGGGGGAGGACCCTGGTGTTGACAAAGGGGAGGACTCTGGTGTTGACAAGGGGGGAGGAGCCTGGTGTTGACAAGGAGGAGGACCCTGGTGTTGACAAAGGGGAGGACCCTGGTGTTGACATGGAGGAGGACCCTGGAGTTGACAAGGGGGAGGAGAACCCTGGTGTTGACAAGGGGGAGGACCCTGGTGTTGACAAAGGGGAGGACCCTGGTGTTGACAAGGGGGAGGAGGACCCTGGTGTTGACAAGGGGGAGGACAATGGTGTTGACAAGGAGGAGGACCCTGGTGTTGACAAGGGGGAGGAGGACCCTGGTGTTGACAAGGGGGAGGACCCTGGTGTTGACAAGGGGGGAGGAGGACAATGGTGTTGACAAGGAGGAGGACCCTGGTGTTGACAAGGGGGAGGACCATGGTGTTGACAAGGGGGGAGGAGGACCCTGGTGTTGACAAAGGGGAGGACCCTGGTGTTGACAAGGGGGGAGGACCCTGGTGTTGACAATTGGGAGGACCCTGGTGTTGACAAGGGGGAGGAGAACCCTGGTGTTGACAAGGGGGAGGTCCCTGGTGTTGACAAGGGGGAGGAGAACCCTGGTGTTGACAAGGGGGGAGGAGGACAATGGTGTTGACAAGGAGGAGGACCCTGGTGTTGACAAGGGGGAGGTCCCTGGTGTTGACAAGGGGGAGGAGAACCCTGGTGTTGACAAGGGGGGAGGAGGACCCTGGTGTTGACAAGGGGGAGGACCCTGGTGTTGACAAGGGGGAGGAGAACCCTGGTGTTGACAAGGGGGAGGTCCCTGGTGTTGACAAGGGGAGGAGAACCCTGGTGTTGACAAGGAGGAGGACCCTGGTGTTGACAAGGGGGAGGACCCTGGTGTTGACAAGAGGGGAGGAGGACCCTGGTGTTGACAAGGGAGGGGGAGGACCCTGGTGTTGACAAGGGGGAGGAGGACCCTGGTGTTGACTAGGGGGGAGGACCCTGGTGTTGACAAGGGGGAGGAGGACCCTGGTGTTGACAAGGGGGGGAGGACCCTGGTGTTGACAAGGGGGGGACCCTGGTGTTGGGGGAGGACCCTGGTGTTGACAAGGGGGAGGACCCTGGTGTTGACAAGGGGGAGGACCCTGGTGTTGACAAGGAGGAGGACCCTGGTGTTGACAAGGTGGAGGACCCTGGTGTTGACAAGGAAGAGGACCCTGGTGTTGACAAGGAGGAGGACCCTGGTGTTGACAAGGGGGAGGACCCTGGTGTTGACAAGGGGGGAGGAGGACCCTGGTGTTGACAAGGGGGAGGACCCTTGTGTTGACAAGGTGGAGGACCCTGGCGTTGACAAGGGGGAGGACCCTGGTGTTGACAAGGAGGACCCTGGTGTTGACAAGGTCGGAGGACCCTGGTGTTGACAAGGGGGAGGACCCTGGTGTTGACAAGGGGGAGGACCCTGGTGTTGACAAGGGGGAGGACCCTGGTGTTGACAAGGAGGAGGAGGACCCTGGTGTTGACAAGGGGGTTGGGGCAGACGGTAGACCCGGCGCAGGAGACATGTTCAAGACCTACCTGATCTTAGCGTTGGTGCCGGCGTCGCTGTCGGTGGCCACCACCACAATGACCTGCGTGTCGGGCGCCACGGACTCGCTCACCACGGCCTCGTACTGCTCCTTGTCGAACCTCGGCGCGTGGTCGTTCTCGTCCTGCACCAGCACGGAGATGGTGCCCGTGCCCGTCAGTCTGGGCGTGCCTGCAACCGTGCAACACCTGTCTGTCATGCTGTCAACACTGTGTTGGTCAGTACCAGTCATCTCTCTCTCTCTCTCTCTCTCTCTCTC